AAGAGGAAATTGTAAGAAAAGCAGGAAAATAAAAAGGTTTAACACTTAAAATAACCAATGTTAGTCTCATCTTAAAAGAGAAGATACCCAGGAAGAGACGATGGGCATCCATAAAACTGCCTGTGGTTTTAGTAACGCAGTTTGGAAAAAAGACAACTGATACCAGCAGTGAAGGAAAACAGATTCAGTGTAACAGGGAATCTTTTAGTGAAAGAAACTCAAGGAGCCTGTGCGTGTGCTGCAGCTTTTTAAATAGTCCACCTAAAAGGGGGGCAGTTTATATACAGTAATGCAGCACTCTGGCAGGTAGGAAGAGGGGAGAGGGTAGCAAGAAAAAGAACAGCTATCCAAAAAGGCCGTGCTTATAGTAAAATTGTGTCTGGTGATTTAAAAGAGAAGGGGAGCAAGGAACAGAAAGGAACAATGTGAAAGGTAAGTAAAGTCCATAGCAGCAAATAGGTATCCTTACCTGTTAAGTGAGTGTCAGGGAGACTGGGACAGTTCCTAAATACTGAATAAGGACAGTGCTCCTCTATATCTTAAAGTAAAAGCAAAAGTTCAAAGCTCTACATTGCATAGTAAGCAGTAAAAGAAACTTGATACTTGCAGATGGGCCACCTGCCCCTTGAAACCTGTTTTCTCCCTTCATCTACCATTCAGCTACCCACAACAGCAGAATGTGGCATTTTTATTTTCTATTTTGCACGATTAACTTGTATCCCTGACTTGAATGTGAAGGACTTGAAAAATTATTTCTGCGATCATATCGTATCCACACCATCTGAACAGTGTCAACATTGGCAACAGCGGCTGAACCTGACGAACTCTGAGTTTGCCCCATCCCGTCTCGAGGTAGATGACCTCCTGAAGTTACCACCCAAATCACTGACATGGTCTAACACGCTGGTAGCTGAAAACCACCACAAACCATAGAATTTCAGACCCTATTATACTGGAAGGCCTCAGCCAGCACTGGCAGCCTAGCCCACTTTAACCCCTCCAGCACCTACTGCTCCCAACGACAACAAAGCCGGGAGTTTTTGTCTCAAAGCACTCGTGACACATAACAGAGTCCATCTGTAACGTGGGCCTAGAGCAGCGCAGGGTTTGTTTCTCTGGGGCTTATTGGGGGGGGTGAGGGGGCAACCCCCCCTTCCCCCCAACAAATACACTACTTCATAAACACATTCACTCCATCCAAATTCCGTTTGTACAACATGGCAACTTTTGTTTAGCATTTCAATATGCCCTGACTTCAAGAGTGTAAACACACATCAGCATCTGGTCCCACATCTTTTTGAAGCAAAAAACAATTAAAAGCTGCAAATATAAACAGCATAGGGATGCCAAATCCCAAACACTGCATACATATCTTTAATATTGTTATTTTCAAGTGTTGTATAATTAAACAATGTGTTCATACAGCTGTCAGGCAAATCATGATCTCCAAGCTTTTATTACATGCCTAGAAACTATCTTGTAGAAGTGTTTTCTACTGCCAGATACTAAATACAAAAAATACACTGTCCATCCAAGACTGATTTTTTTACATAATACATTCTAATTCAGATTGGCTGAACTGCAGCAGATGCCTCTGAATTTCTAGAGTTGGCTATTCAAAAAAAAACCAAACCCAAACAAAAAAACCTCCAACAAGAAAAAAAACAACCTTCCAGAGCAGAAGTATGCCAAAAATGAGGTCTACTGCACTGCTATCATTCCAAGCAAATCCCCCCTCCAAAATATTTTCTCTTGAGTTTCTTGCTGGTACATGACACCAAAGCAGTGGGACAGCTTTAAATCTAGCTGAGGATAACGCCTCGGACTCAGGGATAACTAAGGATAACTTAGCACCTTGGAGCAGGCTTCTGCCATTCTCACTCCTGTGTCTTGCTGCGATGTGGCAACGTGAGCTCCAGCACTGGTGAAAAGGCTCCTCTCCAGTAAGCATCACCAGCCCAGTGAACATGCACACGCAGCCTCTTCAGCAGCGCTGACTCAACTCAGCAAAACAGTTTTCATCACAAAGTTTACAGGATTTTTAATATCAAACTGCATCTGCAGTGCTCTTCACGCCTCTGCAGCTGGAAATTTTCAGTCATTAAACACTCCTCATATGGATGCACACGTAAAAGGCTGTCTGTGTGTAAGATCACATTCTGAAATTCAGCTTCCTGCATGACTGGAGTCTGTTTAAAATCGTGCACATCAAATTTGGGAGTTAAGCTGCTTTGGCATAGTCAGGTGGACACTGACCGCTCCCGTAACTCTGAAAGGACGATCACCTTCTGTGTTATTCAGTTCTGAAATAAGAGAGCCCTCCAACCTTGTTTCCAAAGCCAACACTGCCATCCTACTGCTCCCAAACCAGGCCTACCTAGTCATGTCCAGATCAGATGCCAGGTGTGCTACTTGGTTAAAAATAATCCTGCAGCTGCAAAGACATCACGAATGATGCACACAGTCCATAGAAGTACTGCATTCCCAGCTACCTTGTCCAACATACCATAGAGCACATAAAAAGGATCGTGCATACCGAAGGAACACTTTTTCTCCAACTGTTCAAGAGGATCGTACTGGCCCAGTCCAACACATGGGATATTCTGCCCATGGGAGCTCTATCTTTCATCTTTCTTATCAGCCCATTACTTGACTCCAGGCAGCAGCATTTAGGTGCTACAGCACTGACTGACTCTTCCACTAGCCAACAGAACTGCCTGGGAGAATCCAATGTTTGCCAGACCAGGTACGTCCTACGAACAGAAGGACTGACAAAAGCATTGGGGTGAATCCTACAGTCATAGGCGACTTACCAAAGGAAAGGAAATTGTGCTCCTGCTTCTTGTTTGCCTTTGCCTCTGATCTTCTTACGTCTTGTGCATATTTTTCTGACCCTCAACTCCCTGAAGATGTAACAGACATGGAGTATCTCCCCTCTTTTCCTCCCACATATGTCTATGCACATGGGAGAGTCAAGATCCTTACTGGCTGAGGAGGGGTAAGACCTTACTCCACCTTTTTTAAACTAGGAGTTTGTTAAAACATTTGAGGGGAAAGCTCTCTTTGCATCGTCAGCTTGACTCAGCGTGGACTCTGGTAACTCCAGTCCAATCCCAACACTCAATGTTAAGAAAAACACAATATAAAAGTCCTTTCCTTTGACATCACACGTTAAGCAAACTTGGTAATTCTGTATGACATTAAAAAAAAAATGCCAAAACATCCTTATGTTCACTTGTCCTTTGAGCAGATTAGAATAGGCAATGACATTGATCTGCAAAGGAGCCAAACACATTCTACAATTTCTTGAGCTGTAATGAAGCTTGAAATGAGAACAAGGACTGTCTCAATTAGAAATGCTGAACTGCAGGTGTTTTGCAAGCAGCTTCTCTAATATTACAGTAGCCAAACCTAAATTTGGTATGAACACCACTGCCTGACCATTCTTCATTGCGCAACACTCCATATTTCTATTTCTAAAGCATCAGTGAAACAAGTACACAGTGCCATTTTCTAGCTCAACACTAGGTTTTCTCAATTGTTCTCAAGTCTGTTCAGGGAGGGGAAAGAGAGAAGGGGGGAGAGAGAGAGAGAAGAGGTAACAAAACATTAAATTGCTTCTCCAGGAAGCAGTTTAAGCAGACTAGGAAATTTAACTCCATTGAAGATAACACAGTTCTTAAAATAACATTCAGATGCTTCTTGAATACATCATTTTAACTCGGAAGTAGCGATTCTAGTCTCTCAAATGAGTATATGTTTATTACTGTGCTTAGATGTTTATTAGCTGGCTATACTAATGGCCACTTACGTATTTTGCAGGCTACTGCACAGTATTTTCCACTTTACTCAACATTTTCAGTCAAGCAAAGGTGCACAAAACATAAGCTTAACTTTTCTGTCAAGAGTCAGCCTAGCATACACCAGGCGGTTATGGTCTTCATGTTATTCAGGTCTAAAAACGGTGGGTTTGTGGAGTCACAATCTAGCAAAGCCCGGCAACATTAACCACCCAGTATACTGTATTTGGCAACTAGTGGTATCATGGGACAGCACACTGCAGAACCTATATAGACCTCTCTGAATTCAAAACACAATGGCTTTGACAAGAACCATAAACGAACAAGAGAGCTAGTCACACAGCCTTCTGCAATGGGAAACCTGACTGATACAGCTGCAGCAGAAATTTCCAAGTCATCATCTCTGAATCACCCCAGAGGTTAACTTCTCACAGGCAATTCTCATTTCTGGTTCGAGAAAACACAAAGCTAGAGAGGTAAAGACACTAACCCAGGTTGGGGAAGGCCACATTTTGATTAGGTTTTCTCAGAAACAGAAAATGTGCTTACTAAGTTATAAACTACTAAAAATTCACCAGTACGTTCCTATTACCTTTCCCAACTGCTGTAGGTCCTTGGAGATGGGCTGCAATTTTAAATGGGAGAGAACGCCATCATGCTAACCTAAATCCAAAGCAGTCCATGAAATTATACTCCCTCCAAGATACATTTTCTACTACAGAAAACACTGGCCACCAGAGCTCCTCCACAGAGCCAGGCTTTTTATTCCTAACTTACAAACATCATTTCACTAGTTATTTTTCAAGCCAGATTTTTCTTAGGATTACCCCAGCACATTTTTTTATTTTGAATATTTTCCCTAACTGCATTTGTGCAAACTAACTGTTCATTTGGCAAACGCTAGGAAACTTAACAAAAGTGACTGACCCAAGTTAATGCTTCCCTGCTAGAAAAATAAAAGCAACTATGAAAAGCCAAAACCAATAGCAACAGGCATGTAACCACTTGCTAAGAACAGGCTCCTTGTAATTTTGACACAACCTTCATCCTTTCGCTTTAGCGACTAGAACTTCACCATCACTTTTCTTTATAAGAAATACCTAGTTTTGAAAAATTCTATATTAATCTCTAAAAAAATAAGACAAATATTTGTATTAAAAGCTGGAGATCATTGATTTCAGTAAGTTATGGCTTTTTTTCAGTGTAAGCATATATATATATTTTTCTAAAACAAGTCTCAGTAAGTGTCCTGGGTGTTAGTTCGTATTTTCTGTTTCCAGCAATGTTCAGTATTGTATGTGCTTTGCACCTCAGAAGTGAGTCTGCCAAGGCACTTAGAGAATGTAAGCAAGTCTTTTAGGGACTTCATGAGAATGGGCTACCACTGACACATTACAAGAACCCATCCACCAGCAGAGTCAATCCCCCAACCGAGCATGTTTCCTTTATGAACAGTCAGCACCTGCTAAAATTCCACAATGAATAACAACACTCAAAAAAAAAAAAAGAAGAGGCTCTATTTACCACATGTCACTAACAGATAAAAGATTTCCCCTAACAAAAGCACAGAAAGTAGATCTTGGCTGTCATTAGTAACAGCACAGGTTTTTGTTTTGTTTTGTTTTTTTAAGAAATGAACAAAAAACAAATACCACACACTTGCTTAAAGAAACAAGTGACTAAGAAATCCTCTTCCTTTTATCTGTCCTTAGAGGTGAGTTTTTCAATCAGTTCTTGAAGCGGTGCAAGTTCTCTTCTATCAATAAGGTTGAATTCCTGTAACAAGGATGAGGAGAAAGACATACATACAGTTTTATATGTGCAACTCAGGTGAGAAGTCTTACTCGGACAGCAGTTACTTCGTAGTAGACTCTTTGAATCCAGGCTTAGCCACTACAGCATTTTTTGCCTGTCTGCCATTAGCTGAACAGCAGCGATTGACTGCCTAAAGCTTTTTCCCCCACTTAAAGGAGGGAAATGTGGGAAGTTGCTCTTTTTTTTTTTTTTATAAGGGGAGGGGAGGGAATGTAGCTTTGAAGAAAGCACACTCTCTTCAGTCTAGCTTCAGATGCCATCTTCCCTTTTTCTTCTGTTAGGAATTACTCTTCTACTGAACTATTTGGTAGGGAACACTTGTCGGTATTCGATTTTGTAGCAAACTAATACCTCATTGAAAACTTTTCCATTCCTTGAATGCTTCTAGCAGTAAATATAAGTAAAAATGGAGTAAGACACTATCTTTGGGTCCTGAAGTGTTGACTCTCTTACAAATACACCAGCTGTTAAGAAACTGAAGGGACATTACCTCGATACATTATTTTTTCCAGAATATAACTGTAACCATAATGCTCCTGCCACACTTACCTGAACAAAAAATATAAAGTGCTTGAAAGAAGTGTTAAGGTGTGCCTCTTCCTGTAGCTGGATCACTGGATCAAAGTGCTGGTGATAAATGTGAGCATAAACTCTGAAGAGACGCTTCAGAATTGTCTTTGCCACTGACATGAAATTCTTTGGGAACGGTACACCTAGAAATAAGAAAACAGATGGCTTAAATACCCATGCCACGTTCATGTATTTTGAAAGCCATTATAACCCAACCCTTTCTCTCGCACAAGAAGGGCTGTTCTGTTTCACTCAGCAATTCCATCTGTAAACCACACAATCTACTTCGGCTGAAGCACAACGACAAGCTCTTTGAAGGACTGGAGGGGAAGTTTCCCCTCCCTTCAGTAGACCAGTGGCTCATGCACTTCTTCCAAAACAAATCTGAGAATATTTCTATGCCGAACCTTCCTAGTTTCAGCTTCCAGCTACTAAATCTTGTTGTGCCTCAGTACAGTTCCCTGAAGAGCCTTCTCTGACCGAGAGAATCTTCCTCCCTTCCGGTCAGATTCAGATACCCAAACACAGCTATCTAACACGCTTATAGATGCCCTCTCAGGACGTGCCTGGCCTCTGACTGCCAGCGCAGAAAAGGGCAAGTCTCCTGCAGGCTCCGAGTCTCAGCAACGGTTCCATGCACATGTTCAAGGTACCACAGGGTATTCCGAGGGACATCAGATACCTTTGCGTAGGTAACTGCCACCTTTGGTATCAGCCATCGAGTTTTACACTTCTTTTGGCTAAAGTGAAATCAGAAATAGGCTGTCTTCCACCTGTCTCCTGCCCAGCAAAAAGACTCCTGTTTTCATCCTGCTCATCGCCATCCTTTAGCCAGAGGCTACTGCTTTCTTAACTGCCTGCTTAAGTACTCCGAAACATGCTCCTTTCAGTCACTTCAGTGAAAATGGCCCAGGCCAGGTAAAATCCATTTCAACAGCAGAACTTTGTCAGTGCACAAGTTTTATTACAATTCATTAGGAAACAGCAACTGGCTACTGGGAGTAATAATCTGTTCAGTTGACACATCCGCAGGCTAAAAAAATGTATGTAACAACCATCTAAAAAGATTAAACCTGTCTAGCTTCTCATCACACAGCAGTTTTCCCTGTCAGCTTAGTTCTTCTGCAGTCTTTCCAATTGCTGAAGTCCTGTCTAAAGGCCAGAGACCCAAGCAGGATGCTGTAGGCCAATCATGATCTCATCAATGCTTTCAAACTCTAGTAATAAAATTTTCATACTCCTATTTAAGCTTGCCCTGCTTACATGTACCATCACATTTCCTTCACTGGCTGCTGCATCGCATGGGAAGTTCATATTTAGTTGGTTATCCATTGGGGCCTTTAAGTCTCTTTCTGAATCGCTACCTTTCAAAAATACATCCTATTAAAAGGAAAAAAAAAAAGTCTTCAGCAAAGTATATGCTACAGTTAAAGAAAGATGAAGTCCTGATGCAGTCCTTTGAACACGACTTTAATATTACCTGTAACTATTCAATGTAATTCCGATTAGTAGTGGACTTCTAACCCCAGCTCTGAACTCTACCCTGAAACACTAAACCGAATGCCATAGTATGCAAAGAAACCATGCTCACATGTACTGAGCAGGGAAGATAAAGCTTTCATCACTTCTTCCCAAAGTAACCAGCCTTCTCTGCATATCTGCTTAACTATAACTAAAAACAAATGCCACTTGATTCTGACAGGTGGCCCTGTTTCTCTGAAGCGGCGTCTTGAAAATGTGTCAAATGCTTCAGAAACTATTCACAAAGTAAAAGCAATTAAGAGATCTCCCTTCCTTTTTCCACAACGCATCATAAGCTTATGAGTAGTGGTGTACTGGAAAACTGCCAATTAGGAGCTTTAGAACAAATAGTCCTTCATGCCTCTAGAAACAGGGTTTTCTTCTTGCTATCATTTCCGAATTGGTGGTTGTTCATTATTTTCCTCCTGCTTTTCTGCAAGAAACCTCTTAAAAACATACATCTCATCTTGAATTGAAAAACAAACAAAAAAAAAATCAGTAACTTAAGATCAAAGATGCAATTCAGTTTCTTTAGAGGTAAGGCCTAGAAGTAGTTCCTCATGGGGATCAAACATCTTTCCTGCATCAAAAAGCTGCCAGTTTGTACCAATTACTGGTTATAAGGGTTTTGAGACTCTCTGCCTTATTTCTAAGGAAATAACCCACTGTTCAAAATGAAAAAACTTCCGATTCGATCAACACAGTTATTAAATAGAAACAGTACTTCCTACCTTAAGAATTGTGATAATGTTTATTAGGAGTATTAATACATGGATCAGGATTCATGTACTACCATATAAATTTCATCTTAAGAGATGAAAGTGCCTTCATATATATAATGTAACCTTTTACAGTTGCCCTACTTGTCAGTCACTCAGGAGACCCTTTATTGCTATAAGACTTGAATATTCCTGTACAACTGCAATCCAAATACATTGTTCAATTTTACTTATTTACTTTACCTATTTTAGAAGGAAATAGCGTTTCATCATCCAGCTGATCCTGGACCCAAGTCATCAGGTAATCAATGTACTTTGGTGCAGAACACTTAATTGGTTTCTTTATGTTTGTCCCATCTGCCCAGTGGTACTCATATCTGGGTTGGGGTGACAACAAGAAGACATTTCTTAACACAAGTGAATCATTCATATCAAGGCCTGGAAGGCTGCTCTCCCTGCTCCGCTCCCTGTACTCCCACACCCTCCCACAGCCCTTCCTTGAAACTAAGGTCCCAAGCCTCCCGAGTCATCTGCAGCTGCTCTGTACGCGGTCTCCCCGCCGCAGTCCTGCTTTAACTGCACTCCCTTCTGCAGTGTGAGGAGGCCTTCAAAGCATTCATCCTTTATAGCACAACTCTCTCATCCTCAGTTGCAACACTCCTGCCAAAATGCACATGACAGCCTGCGGTCAAACCAACCTGCATCCCTGTACATCAAAAGTTGCTGGATGAGTAAGTTTCCAAACCCTGAAAAGCCAATAGCTACTTATTCTTTCTTAAAGCCTGTGTCCGTCCCCCGTCCCCCCCCAAAAAAAAAGAAAAACATCACAGCCTGTTGAAGTGAAACTTAAAAAAAATACAGGAGATTCTCACACAAATGAAAGCTATGCTCCAGGGTTCCAATGGGTGAAGGCACCTGACTGATTTCTAACATGAAATTTCACCCGGTCAGCCCTAGCAATGGGTTTCTCTGTACCTCCACTGGCAGAGAACTGTGAAGCAAGTGGCAATGCTGAACATCTCCAGCAGCTGCCAACCAGCCACATTAGACGTCTAAAATTTATGGAATTTCTTTACATTTGAAAATGTTGTTAGAGATTTTGCATAACTGAAGGCCAAAACGCACTGGCTCTTGCCAGAGATCCCAAATCATGCTTGTGTTAGAGACAGGGTTGTGTCAGAGGTAGGTTAATGCCAAGGAATACTATTACAGAACTGGAAGCTGGTATAGTATAGCGTGCCTTTCAGCTAACAGTTAGAAGAAAGCTTCTAGGCTAAACAGTCCTCCTTAGAAAAGGTTCATATCTGAAGGCCCAGCGCTACCATGCATCGCACCAAGATTCAGAAAGGTCTCGGTTTCCAGTTATTCCACCGACCCACTTGACAGTCGCAGGCCAGTAACTGCCTTTTAACTTAATTTTTCCATCTGTAGATAGGGTGATATTGCACCTTTACAAACCACTGACATGACTATGGAACAGTAAAACATGTGCTCTTTTTATCCTTTGCCATTACTGAGCTAGTAATGTTGACATCTTTTATGCAGCACATTTAATGAGTAGATTCCAGTGTCATTCATTTTACAGTTACCGTTTTAAGTTCAGCAGTTTAAAAAGCCATGGAAAAATGCATTAAACAACATCCATTTACATGCACAACCAGACAGAAACAAGCCCTCACAAAATCAGAATGGAACAGCTACCTTGGCTGGCGTGGGGAACACAACTGATGCAAGTCCAGACACAGAAGATGGCTATCTGGGGAACATACAGCTTAAAAAACCCAAACACGTTTAACACTGGGTGTCTGACAATACCAGCTTTCAAGTGAACCACAGCGTTTCTATGTCTTGCTGAGTACAAATGCATGTATCTTAATATTCTTAGCCAATCTGTAACATCTGAGCAGTTTCTTCTCATCAGCACAGAGCCGTGCACAGCCCTCTCGTTTAGACCTGACCACAGCATAACCTCCCACGTCGGTTTTAAATCAGCCAGCCTTGCTCAACCAACCAGCCTGGCTGCAGAGCGGCTATCTGTGGGGCGAGCCTGCTGCCGTGCCAGATGCGAACAGGACTGCTCAGCTCTGCAGCTCCAAAATCCTCCCAGAGAAACAAATGAACAATGATTCAGACTACAGGTGCAACACTCCTCTTTTAGAAATGTAAATTTTAAACAAACAAACCAACCAAAACATACAAGGATAGCGATGTCAGCTCAGTCATGCTTTTACAGGAAACATACCCACTTCCATCTACAAGTTTTATCTCAGTTCTTTTTAAAAGAATTAGAAGAAATGTTATTAATGGTCAATATTTCTTCTTTTCATGGAGGACAGCACGCTCAATTTGATTCTTATTTCTTAGTTCAGTAGTAGCATACCACAATGTTTGGGCTGCAACCACCACTGTTTAAACCTTCCCTTGCTATCTCCAATTAGTATTGTGCGGACACTGGAGAAGGCCTTCCATTTTAAAGGTCATACACATAATTTTATGCAAAGCTCAAATTTTATCTGATAAATCTGGCTTCTAACTTTGTTAAACATATTCAGTTTTGTCAGAACAGTAACTGGGAGAACATTTTCACAATAAACAAGTTTTACAAGTGATTATGAGCGTGCTGCTCACAATGGTATAAAAAGATCCCATTTCTGTAACGGCAACAAATCAGAGGGTCTGAAAGCAGTTTAAAACTTATCTCAAGATACATGCAAAAATTCCATACACACTGAATGGACCACAATGTGTTTGGATTTCTGGAAAATCAGTATTCCTCACCACCCAGTATTACCCTAATACTGAGATTTAAGTGGTACTAATGTAGGACAAATACCCACACTTAGCTGAGGTGCCAGGTTCAGGCTGGAAACAGAGCAAGACAACAAACTAAATTACACACTAAAAACCTGATCCAAATAACACATACTCATAAGAAGCCTCCCTCCCTCTCCCCTCTCAATACTATGGGTTAATTCTGCATTTAGGCTCGACATTAGAAAGAACTTCTTCACCGTTAGAGTTGTTAGGCATTGGAATGGGCTCCCCAGGGAGGTGGTGGAGTCATCGCCCCTGGAGGTGTTCAAAAAACGTTTAGATGTGGTACTTCGAGACATGGTTTAGTAGACATGGTGACATCAGGTATACAGTTGGACTTGATGATCTTTGAGGTCTCTTCCAACCATAATGATTCGATGATTCTATGATTCTATGATTTTTTAGAGGAAGGAATGCCATAACACAGCTCTTAAGAAACAGCAGATAAATCCTGACAAAAAGTAAAGTCATATAGAGAATTCTAAAGTATTTCGGCAAACACCCCGTGCTCCACGCGGTTGGCATAACGTCCAAGGTTGTTCCTAGGTTGTCAAAAAGCTTGTGGTTGGCAAGGGAGGGAAAAATGAACTCTTCCTACAAGATGAAATACATCACTGAAAACAAATCAAGAATCCTAGCCCAAGTTCTTAAACAAAAAAAACCAAAACCAAACACACACAAAAAATTTCCACATATTAGAATTATTTGAACTGCTACAGGAAATGAAGGGTAAAAATCACATTTCTAGCTCCAGCTTGTGAGCAAACACCTACAGCTCCGGTGATACCAAATTAACTTTATCATGACAGGCAGTTCCTCTACAGAAAATACGTTTTTAGAAACCTCTACAGTTTAGTAGAGGTTTTAAGGGCAAAACAACATGTGAAGATAGAGCAAGAAATACACAGTTCACTGCAGGAAGCGCAGGGGAAAAAACTAAGAATCCCTAACGACTCTGGTAGAACTCTCTCATACTAATAAACCCAAGTTATTTGCCATCTATAAACAGAAAACCCAACTACACTTCTCACACTAGAAAACATCCCTAAGAATGAACAATCATAGGATCAGCTCCTCTACCATGCAATTACATGTACACGGCCTAAGAAAAAAAAAAAAAAAAAAAAAAATCCCACACCAGCCTGACTAAAATTAAAACTGTTACCTTGTCCAACAGCAATAAAATGCTGTGGCTCAATAATGCCTTTTAAGAGATTCTCGGACATTTACTTGGACCTATCATCTCTAAATCTCAGCAAAACTGTATTACATCAGGACTGATGAAAAATACTTATTCTGTTCTGTCCCTCGGTCATCAAGTGACACAGGCGCGGAGCGTCACCAAAAAGGCAAAAGGATTGATATTGCTAAGACACACAGGGAATCTCAATTACACGATTACATTCATTTTTTCGCTGCAGACCCAGTGGGCAGAAGGCAGCATGCAAACATCCCATTACATCGCATTACGCCCATGTAGGATTTACGGGAGCTGTCCGCTTTGGAGAGTCCAGCTATTCTCATTTCAGCATAGGAAGACAGAAGCACTGTGGACCAAGAAACCTCAGGAAAATCAGAAAGATCGCACCACCATTAAGAGCGAGCTTAGTGCACTCACACAAACACCTAAACATGGATTTGAGAGCCCCAGTTCAGACATCCAGCTTTCAAAAATGCAGCAGCCAGGTCCCTCCTTTGTGCTCTTATTGAAGACTTACAACCAAGGAGGAAAATAAAGAAAATTCCCCTCACTCAATGCTGGTTAACAAACACACTACTTCTATGCAGGTCCTTAACTTCTCATCATGCCTGTTGCACGGATGGTGATACTGCAACTGATACAAGAATAGCAAGAAGTGATAACCAACTAGGGCTCGTTTGGGTAAGAAATGGTTGGTCTTTGCTGAAGTGCAAAGAATGGAACATTACTGTGAGTAATCATGTGTTTTGGAACAAATTAAACCAATACTTTTTTCAAATTGTCAGACAATGAGCTGTACAGCAGGAGAGGGAGATCGGTTCTTGATCTTCACATCAATCCTTAACTAACTCATGTACTAAAACACCCTGATAAAAGCTAAGTCGCCAACCCTCCCAACAAAGCTAAGTCCAGAAGAAATGAAAGTGGTCCCACAACACACAAAAATTTACCTGCTTCAGCTAAGCCCTTCTGTTAAGATTGCTACCAAAAACAACCAGTAGGCCAGAGAAGTAGCCATACAACCCCAAGCATTTGCTTCAAGGTAGCCCTGTAGAGAAGATAACCCTCCCTGTATCAAAAAAAAACCACAAAAAACCAGACGTGAACCTAGGTGACCTACCTGTTGCCAAGGGTCTTCCCCCTCCCCCCCTTCCCCCTCTTTTAAAGGGGTTTTAAAGACAAAACACCACCAGTACCAGCCAGTGGATACAGGCAACATCACACTTCTGCTCTCATTACTCTCCAACTTAAGACATCTGGTTTAATTTTTTCACAGTCTGCTATAAGTTTGTCAGTTGTACTATGAAAATTGTGACTGAACCACAATGAGGTCTATACAGCTACCTATGTATGCACCAGCACCTTACAACTCTTTTTTACTATATCGACCAGAAACACTTCTCCAGTGGGAATGTGAAAATCAGACTCTAGCGTATGCACCAGCACTTTACAACCCTTTTTTACTATATCGACCATAAACACTTTTCCAGTGGGAATGTGAAAATCAGACTCTAGAGCCATAGAGCGCTTGCTGCTTCTGGTTCTCTCCAGCTACCCATGCTACGGCTGCCTAACCTGTTTCAAATGACCATACGTACGTTGTTTCATCTATCTCATACACTTTTGTCTGAAACAGATGAGGATGCAATACTGGTGGTAGCTCAGCCATGGATGTGAGCAGACAGCAGCCTTCAGCCTAGAAGCACTAGTGAGCACCAAAGACTCAATGCCTCTTCAACTAACATAGCTTGAGCCAGGAAACAGAAAAAAAAAACAAAAACAAAAACATAAATATCAGTGCTTTCATGCTGACAAATTTTCCAGCAGGACTTCCCTGAAAAACAATTTTAAGTGAAAGCAAGCCATGCTCACTTTCAGCTAAACCCCACTGTATATGCTCTGCTGCCAGTCACCTCACCTGTTCCTGTGCCTGCCTGCCCTCGGCCCCTCACATTGCGCACGCACACTTGTGATCCTTCCACAAACACCATCCCTGAGCACAGGGAGGGCTGCAGAGTTTGGGGAATGCTCTACAAATCCTAGGGACACGATCACCTAACTAAAACCTTGGCAGAATGCCTACTCTAGCCTCCAGCATCGCTTTTCTACCCCACTTCGTAACTATTTCAGTATGACATTTCTGTCAATGGTTATCAGTCTCTTTAGAAAGAAATAAATTGTTTAGTCTGGCAACCAGACAGCTAAGCCTTTAATAATTAACCTCCACCCCCAAATAACTGCTTCTCAGCAGATAAACAATAGAGCAAAGAAATATTTTCATGCTCTTATTTAATAAATACGAGTCTGTTCTGCATGCCAAAGTAGACAATGGGCTATGTTATTGCATAAGCTTATCCCAAAGCTCTTTCGCATAATGGTGGACTTCTTTTCCTTTTGTATTTTCGTCCCTTCCCACTTTGCAGCAGCAGGTCTGCCTGCCCACACTGGTTTAGGCATTCAGCAGTGTCCGTTTTTAGTTTAAGAACTTAGCACTAAAGCTTTTCTTGGTCGGTCTGGCTGCTCTCGCCTTGCCGAGCTCCTGCCCTCTGCCCTGCCCTCCCAGCAGCACCCTTTGCACGTCCCCAGCTCTCCACCACACCGCCTGGCGACAACTGGCTTCAGACAGTAACAACAAATGTCTTTCTAAAGGAGGAGGAAGTGGAGGAAAAGATTGTTCTTCTTTATTGTTTATTTAAGATTTTAAAGTAATTTAAAAGGAAGTAGTGCCCTCCCTTGCCACTTGCTTAGAAACGCAGGTATTTTCCTCTCTGGAAGACACTAAGTAGCTGGAGAGCAAGGAAAAAACACAGATATCGGATGTCTGTACAAAAGCATAAGCAAGAACCAAAGAAGTGAAAATTAACTGAAGGACAGGGTAGGGGATTCTTATCCAGACTACTAAAAACTGTAGACAAGGTTTTTTCTACAATACCTACTCAAATACCTAAAAGAAAGATTTTGGTAAGCACTAATTGAACGCTTGCATATAAAAACTTCAGCTCTTAATTTAAGAAGCCCTCATTAACATTTCAGGAAAAAAAAAAGGAAAAAATTACTATTGATAATCAGTTTACTTCCGAGGCTAAATAAAAAGAAAACAAAACAACCAAAACCACACCCCATCCCACCCCCAAAAAAACCAAAACCAACAAAAAAGCAACCAAAGAAATCATTCCAAAAAAACACCTTCCCGTTCCCCGCTCCCTTAACAAAGGTTCAAATTTTTTTCCCCTCCACAGGTAACCAAAGAAGACATCCTTTCCACCCACAGAAGTTACCTTATCTTCAACACTCAACTGAGCTAGTCTCAAGTTTTCAAATGCAAAAATCATCTAAAAAATTTCACTCTCAACAATGCATAAAAAATTATCTTACTTTGGGCCAGCGGACATCACGGGGCAGCTCTCCTCTGTGCAGAAGTCCGTAATGGTTCCATAAAGCATATTGATCTGGTTGAAGAAGTCAACAGCTGTAAAGCATTTAAACCATCAATTAACACTCTGCAGCGTAAGGGCAACACAAGTTTCCTACAGCCTTAACTGTAAAAGCGCACCAGTTGAAGAGGGTCCTGGAATATTTTTTGTGGAAAAAAAAAAAAATCATTGTTATTGCTTTTTAAGATATATGATAAAGGAAATGCAGAATGCAACCACCAACTTTCTAGAACAGCCTCTGGCAATAACTATGTAATTGTTCACTGCAGCAAAAATCTTCATTTGAAAGAAGAAAAGAACTGAGTTACCTCCTTTTCTGAAAGTTTGGTGCATTTTATTAGAATCCCAAATTCTACTGACAAGTCTGGAATAAAATTAAGATTTTCACTGTAAACTTTGCAACTACAGAGAGCTGTCACTCATTAGGTGACACTAACTTCCCTCAGGCACTGTACTCCAAAAGATTATCTTTTTAAAGAACATATCACAGAAGCACAGAATGGTTTGGGTCAGAAAGTACCTTTTAAGACTATTAGTCCAACCCCCTGCCCTGGGCAGGGACACCTCCCACCAGACCAGGTTGCTCAAAGCCCCATCCAGCCTGGCCTTGAACACTTCCAGGGATGGGGCAGCCACAGCTTCTCTGGGCAACCTCTGCCACTGCCTCACCACCCTCACCGGGAAGAATTTCTTCCTTCCGTCTAATCTAAGACTACCCTCTTTTAGTTATGTTACGGTCAAACACTACATGTATGGGAGGTGGGTACAGAAATCAAGACACAGGAATAGTTACAGTGCCAAGCAACTTCAGTTCCTTAGATTATCAATTAATTACCACAAATCAATATTTAGTCCACAACGTTTCCTCGTTATGAACTATCCCTGGAGTTTTGATCTGGGGGGTTAGTGCTTAAGTGTTTTTACATGTTTGGGAAAGTAGTTCTCTCAGCCAAAACTTTAATTTTAATGGTCTACAGCTGAATTACTGAACCAAAAGACCAAAAGTTAGCATATCTAAATATTCCCATAGCTCTTACTACTTTAAGTAGGTGCTTGATTACTTCGAACTCTCTGAAAGCAAGGCTCTTCTTCAATAACCTAACAGCAGGCTCTGTTCTTAGGATCTGTGGTCACTGTAATCAGTTTATAAAATCCACTTTACCTCCCCTCAGTGAACAGCCCCCCTTGCATCTGTTGGGGAGCACAGCACATTACCAAGGTATCAATATAGAAGTTTCTCTTTTCAAAATGTCTTTCAGACAACAGATGTCACAAGTTAAAATTGAAAGGTGGCCAATACTAAGCACTAGGAAACAAAATTTTAAGTAGGCTGGGTTAAATTCTTAGGGCTAATTAAGTGCACGGCGTGGTTCCAGAAAAACAGTTTTACAACATAATTCCTGTCTCCCTTATCCCGCAACAGTTACTGTGAATTGTGCTTCTGGATGAATCCAAGTAATACAAGCACACAGGAACTTAAGACTTGTGGGACTAGTTTTGGTGTCCTTATTCATCCACTCTTATGCATGGATGAAATTCAGCAATCATATAAAAACCCAAATCAAGTGTGGTGGAGTTCAACTCCTTCTATTTAATCACAATGCTTTACAAATGTAATTTTTCCACCAACACACCCTTACCCTGAAAGGAACCATATCTGACATATAAATAGATTTAATGCCCCAGTGCCCAGTCCAGGCTACATTGCTTCTGCTGCTAAGAGCATTGGGCGTGCCACCTGTGACAAAAGGAGCCTTTACAGCTAGAAGCTTCATTTATGAATAATGTCTACAAAGCTAGTCCTCAGGATGAGGAACCAGTGCAGAGTCTGTCTGGGCTCGGCATCACTTAAAACTTTCTTTACTTCAGTGCTACCTGTGTTACGCCTGCAATTCAATGTGCCAGTGACAAACTGTTTCTTTACCGAGACAGATTTCAGGAATACTCAAATAAAACCCCCTATCAGCAGTACTGACAGTCCAATCATGTCATGAAATAGTCATGTGTTACTCAATTCAGTATTCAGGTGACAAAGCAAGCTCTTCCTCCTAAACCAACAGGGAAAAGTTTTCCTGTGACCAGTCTCTGTAGTAGTTAGGCAGACACGTTCGTCTTAACTTAAAAAATTAGTTTAAAAAAGAGTTACTACTTGCAACACTGAATAGTCTCATACAACCAATCTGCAGGACACTCTGGAATTAACACCAATGCCACACTCCTCTCAATCCAGTGCCACGCCAAAAAGAAGCCAGCATATTATTTGGTAGCCTACCCAAATTTGCATTCCTTGCTTAACTCTATTACAGAGATATATAGTTTTGCTGTAATGAAATGGAGATTGACATCCTAAATGTAAGCACCAGCAGATACCACGTACTGTGAAAGTAACTGATGGCTGACAGAAAGGGAGGATTAAATACTGCAGCTCCTCTCACTGATTTTCCCAGAGAATTAACACCAAAGAACACATGAACATCATGGCAGCAAGTTACAGCCCCTGTTCAGCAGATGCAGCATACGAGCCACAACTGTGTCATGCAACTTTCCAGGAATCAAAAAAGGAAAGCAAATAAAAACTGGTATGGCATGCACCTAGCACAGCCCACTTCCAGCAACATAATCTGGTGGTTTGGGTTTTTTTTTCCCCCTGCACAGCAAAAGCAGAAAACAGCAAAACAACATTGGGTAAGGTTGATAAAAAAGTTAGAGAGGACCAGGAGCACTCCTAAAGCTTGTTTGGGTCGGGGGGAGGAGGCAGTTAACACCGAAGGCAGCCAGAAGTGGTTACATACAGCCCTTGTTTCTTAAGTGTACAGAAGAACTGTTAATTAAGTTTCCATTCCCTGCTGCCAGTAGAAACCACAGTCCAATGTTTGCTTCAAGGCAAGCATGCTCAAAAAGCCCACACAGACTTCAACAACATGACCGATTATTGTGAATCCCACACTTGCAATCTCAAAATGCCATGAGATGCACCATGCATCCACCAAAGGCAGCAGCGCATGACAATGAAAGAAAAATGAAAGAACCTCCTTTCCAACATGTGTAAAGCTGTACAATGTCTCTGCATATTTTCACTTCCTCTTTTTACTCATTGTTCTTAAGTTTCAAGGGCTTAGATTATTTATCCACCAACGCCAGCAGCGCATGACAAACAAGAAAAATGAAAGAACCTCCTTTCCAACATGTGTAAAGCTGTACAATGTCTCTGCATATTTTCACTTCCTCTTTTTACTCATTGTTCTTAAGTTTCAAGGGCTTAGATTATTTTTTCCAAGTGCTTTTCTACTTGAAGAAGTGCAGACTGTTTGGTGTTCTATTAAAGATATAGGCAAGATGTACTTCTGAAATTATTTTTTAGTATTTTCAAATCAAGGAGATTTCAAACGAAACTCAAACTGATTATACACTTGTCACATTTTTTTATTTTGAAAACATATTTGAAAAATCTACACGTACATCAACTCATTTCCATAAGACATCAGTAAGGCTAAGAGATGAGCAAGAAGTAGTAGAAGAGCAGAGCATGTTTACTCCTGTGCTCTCAATATTGTGAAGGGCAAAACCATGACAATAAGTCACATTTTATTTCCATATTAGATATCTCAATCAACAGAAGGGGCTCACAGCTACCATTAACTCCTACTAGGTGTGGTAGAGGGATGCTGTCAATGAAGGCAGCACATAATCAGTTAATCACTTCTAGACAAAAAAGTTAAAACATTGAAAACCCACTTTGCTGCAGGAGGCACGGAAGAGGACCACTTCCGTACAGAATGCAGCTGTTACCAAAAGGCAGCTCCCACTCTTTTCTCAAGTGCTTCGCTGCCTTTTGCCACCCAGCTAATTTAGCAATTACGTCATTCGGGAAGGGAAAAAACACTGCTGGCACACAGGAAAGAAGAGACACAGTGAAGGAACCACCAAAAGGGAAGGATGCCAGCAATATATGAAGCATCTTTAGTAATGCTTACTCATAAAAATGGGCTGGCTCTTTTTCTAGACAGTTTTGCAATACACTGTGAATAAACTTTTACAAAGAATGGTGTCAGCAATTTCAACACTCCCTGGAAGCAGTGGCAAGTCATGTACCAGAGCACTGTGTGGCTAATTAAGGCTCAGAAGGTTGAAGGCAGTATAGGGGTTTCACTTCCCAAACACGTCAAGAAGAAATAGACAGAGCCACATAAACAATTAGAAGACATTTATCTTGAGCATAATTTATACTGCACTTGTCAAGAAGAAATGGACAGAGCCACATAAACAATTAGAAGATATTTATCTTGAGCATAATTTATACTGCACTGCAGTGCACCATCAATACCGTTCAATCACGAAAGCACACCAAGCCAAAGACACAAAAGATAAGGAAATACCCAGGCAGGGCACAGAGTCTGTGGCAGCCAAAACTCTGCATGGGCTACAGAGCACAACAGGACTTGGGTTAATCCATTCTTTAAAAGCAGGAACGCAGGCAGCAAATTCATGCATCAGGGAGACCAAGGAGGAGGCAACACGGTCAAGCAATCAGAAAACACTAATTTGGGCATCACTGTTTGGCCTGACCTAGCATGAAAGCACAGAGTTAGGACAAACAGCCTTAGAGGAAGTTAAAATAGGACAAACGGCTTTAAAGGAAGTTCAAATGATGACATCAGAGACTTAGCAGAGCAAAGGCTTACAACTTGGTAGAAACAAAAGGAAGGAACTAACTTCAGGAAAATTGCAAAGATCGATCTCTGGGTTTGTTACAGGCAAAAAGAAAGCCAGGCCATACACGTGACCGTAGTCTTTAGCACCTTTTAGACCTGGCCCTCACACTTAACTAAATTAAGGTTTTATGCTTAGCATGTAGAGGCTTGACTATACCATCGGGTAACAACCCTAGCTGAAAAAGAGCTAGATTAAACATATTAAGATGGCACTGACAAGCTACTTTCTAAAAACAGCAGTGACATTTCTACTTCAGCACCTGTTTGTGATCAAGTGCTTAGACTTTAACCACTAAGAATAAGAACTCTTTTACTAACAGGAACATATTTTTGGCACAAGGAGATAAAGGAGGTTTTGTCTCAGTTAGACACTCTGCATTTGTCAGCTCTAAATGATAGGACGTTCACCTCCCCCAGTCGCAGCAGAGTGGTGCGTGCAGGACAGAAGAGCCTGCCCCACTAGAAAGGAGTACGCTGCTGTCCTCCCGTGACTGTCAGCCCACATTCAACACCCCTCTTACAAAAAAAAAAAAAAAAAAAGGTCAGCCAACTTACTGTTAACTGCAACCCATTCATTTAAGTCTTCACCCTCTGGAAGCATAACAGCCATCCGGAGATTACCGCTTCCAAGTGTGGCTTCGGCATGTTTTAGCAGCTCGTACTGATGAGACCCCTCTGGAATATTCTTCTTTGGTTTGAAGGTTTTGGAAGAGCGACTACCACTGCAAAAGGGAGAGGAAATATTTAGACAACTTGTGGAAAGGGAAGGCAAAAAGAAAGGAGTGGGCAAGTCACACATATAAGCACAGGATTAACATTAAATACTTTCTCCACTCCCATATTCTCATGTCGAAAAAGGATATTTAACAAAAACTGGGATGCAAAGGTAAGAGGTGCTTTGACTTGTTGTTTTAAACAATTAAATGATTCTTCACTATCCTGCCTTCTCATCTGCTCACCCTACTGTTAAGCCAGATGGACAATTGGGAACACTGACACTCCCTTCCCTCCCTCAGCAAATTTGATCACAGGCAACACAAGACCGAAGATATTTCCTTCCCCAGAATTTGGACAGACACCTATCAAGGACAGCAGCCCAGCCAAACAGAAACCTCCTTTACTCTCAACAGTCATGAAGCTTGTCATGGTAATTAAAGATAATACTTATTTAACAGAAAAACCCATATTCTTTTTCTAACACTCACCTTCATGAGACATGAAATGTCATCACACCTGCACAAGTGTAGTAAGAAGGCAGGGACAGCCTGTTCAGACCCCTGACTTTTCAAATCACATCTGATGTTTTAAGGAGTTACTATTAATTCCTCAAAACCAAGCTGCTCTTATTTAGGAAAGCGCACTTTCTGTAGGCCTAGCTGATTCAAAGTATTATCTTAGCTATCAACATAAAACAACTTTTCCAGGATCTGGTATTGTTTAGGAACTTAGTTTTTAAAATACAGCCGTTCAAAAAAATACGAACACTTTAGCTGAAGACTGATACAATTCCACATTTCCCACAAACTTTCTATGTCATTTTCCCCTGGTTTCACAGCATACAGACCTTTCAGTCCACCAGTTAGGCAAGAAATAAGGATGACAAATTTTACAACTTTCACAACTTTCATATAAATCATTTTCCTACCTATAATTTCATTTGAAAAATACGGACTTAGAAAAACATTTAGACATTTGAATTTTAAATGATGGCAGTGAGCCTGAATGGCACATTAACCCCTAACATGTCAAAACCATGTCAAGTAAAATTAAATATTTGCAGAAAAGTGTCAAATGAGCCAATATTTGTGAGTGGTTTAGTGTATGAGCTGAGAAGAGCTTTCTGTCATAAAGGAAATCTGAGCTCTGAATTCCAATGAAAGAAAGTGGCAAGATGTGAAACCCAGACAGCAGAATTTTCATTACAAATATTACTTAGTTTTCGTTTCTTTATTTAAAAGACTTTGCTAATTTTTCACCATCTCTCTACAGGACCAAACTGAAATTTTTGTTAGTGGGGCATAAGGGTTCTCCCCAGCCCACTAAATATTTAAACGGCATGTTTGAACATGCAAGGGTTGTGGCTTATCTTTGGGGCAATGCTAGCCTAGCTACATTGTCACACAGAAGTACTCTAGGAAACTTAATTCTGCATCTCATTTCCCCCACCACACCACACTACAGCCATCAACAGAAAATTAACGACGGTCACTCATTTCTACAAACCTGAATGCCAACAGCTCTAGCAGAGACACAATGTGCACCAAAGAACACAGCAAAAATTGTTCTTTCCAAAACACGTAATGACAGGTGACCGAGAACACGCCATTTGCCAAGCATATGACAACTGCCTAACAGTTCATTAAGTCTCAGTTTAGAGCTGAACAAGAGCAATTGAATAAGAAAACATACTGAAACTGGAGATAAAGAATGAGTTCCTCAAATTCTTTTGGGTTAGGTAACAACATCTTTGCGGATGCATCTTTGAGTATTGAACAGATCTCACAAGTCTGCCTGGTTAGAGATTTACATGGTCCCCCTTCTGCTCTGACTCACCTTGCTACAAAGGAGCAGCAGCACCTTCCCCCTTCCATAGGCCTCCGGAGTAATCCTGTTCTCTAACCCTCATAAAGAAGCCCTTGGCCGGACTAACAGGGATTGTGGGATGATACAGTTGAATAGGCCATGTACGTTCACACAGACACCAGAACAACACTAATGCCGTCACCTACTAAATGCAACTAAGAGCCAGAAGTAGGAAGAGGAAACATATGGCTCCGATATATTCTGTTACAGGACACTTTAACATGCACCCAGTCATTTGCATTTCACTCTAAGCAAGGATACCAGATTTAAATCTTGAATAAAATAATTGCCTCCCAGTGGGAGCACGAAGCTTTTGTGGCTCAGGGAGTTCCCTTCACCTCCCACCCCTCCAGCCATCTGCATTTGTTGCCAGGCCAGGTTCAAACCAACTCTGAAGAAAAAGCGACTGAAAAAAAAACACCAAACAAAAAACCAAGATTAGGTTTTTTAACTGACTACTTAAGAGACCCAAGTTCCTCTCTTCAGGAACATACCCACTTTATAGCCATTATGCCAACACAGGGGGTAAAAATACCGCTTAAAACATCTGGCAATTGCTTTGGTGTACGGCTGCACAGACAGGGCTGACGCAAGGTAACATTCACAACAACTGAAGAGCAAGAGAGACTGGTATCATTATCTTTCCCCGTGTGTCACTGCAAGCAGGAGAAAACCAGCACATGCAAAAGACAAGCACAGCACTTCCTAACTTGCTCACAAGATTTTGTTCTCACTCCATCATAACTGGACAATGAGGGAAACCAACTCCTAATACTTCCATGAAAAGCAAACCAAAGGTTTCCACAGACTTACCACCCCTCCAAAGCTCAGGTCATTCATTCATCATCAATTAGAGAGGAAGAGATTCCCCCCCCTTCCCCTCGCCCTGATGCTTACATAGAATCCCCGATTCCTCAAACAAGTCCTCCTTTCCCCACATTCCAAAACCTAACACACATCAGCTTCTCTTTCACACTACTGTCATTTTCATACAACGATGAAGACTGAAAAACTTAAGTGCTGTAACTGGTCTGGTGCAGCTCCCTGCGGCGAGATCTACAAGCGCATCACAGAGACTACTGCTGGGTCCACAGAGCTCCCCAGGTGTGATGAGGAAAGCTCTATCCAGACCGAGAGAGGACTTACCAAGATGATTCAGGTCACAAAGGGCAGCACCCCACTTACAGCTTCAGCAGAAGACCTCTGTTCGGGAGGAGAAAATAGTATAGAAACATACGCAGCAGTAACTGGAAAAAGGTTATTAAATAACTAAACCAAGAAACCATTCGGTTTTTAGCAAAACGGGTAAGCCAACAGAATGGATGAGTGTTTGAGAACAAGGCACAAGGAAAGCATGGTGAAGGAGCTCCCTAAACAAAATATTTTACATTGAGAAAACTCTGAGTAGGAATTCACACCACATCCACTCTAGATCACAAGCTTGCCAGATAACAAACCAAGTCACTGAAGATCTGTTGGATACCCAGCAGAAATCTCCTATGGTCAAGGAAGCAGAGAATGCACAACACACTGGAAAATCATTAGGTATCACTTAATCCCTGCTACTCCCTCCCCAGAAGCAGAGGGTTTCTTCCCATAAGCTAGCAAAAGCTGTAACAACACAATACACGATGATTTGGTCTTGTCAACTATTCTAACCAAGCCACTCCGTATTTGCCTCCACTACCTTTCTGATCACTGCTTCTCCAATTCAGCACAGTCACCCTAAGACAGCAGGAACGGTCTCACACGAAAGGCAGGCAGGCATCCAAAAGGAAAAGTAATTAGGATAAATGCAGGCTGCTAGCCATCACATGCTATGGAAAGATCTGCAATTTTGGCAACAAATTATCTGAATTCCATGCATTTATGCAGTTTATCACATGTGAAGCCAGTTAACTGCACGCATGGTCATACATTCCTCGATACAAACAAAAGTTCTGGGACTTGGCAATCTAATCTAGCTTCTTTAAGCCAAAACCCTTACAGGACACATTTGGGAAGTCTCGTCGTAAATGTTGCTGCAAGTATTATTTCAACTACTGTTATTACCTCAGAAGCTCTCCTACCATTTAACCAAAAAATATCTTCATTTATTTATGCCTTAGGACCACCAGTTAACTACCCCTTCAAATGTTTACATTAGTAAGTAATCCTGCTCCCTCCCTAAACCCTGACCACAGCAGCATCTTATTCCTCCTATCCTACATTACGATTCCCAACACTGAGCTGAAGGCATCTTAAAAAAAAACCCACAACAAATAAATAATACTTTTTTTTATTATGTCAATGTTACATGTGACAGATTTAGAAAGTCTTCTTGTTCCAGGTCTATTTCCTCAACTCCTTGAGCATTCAGTGAAAAAAGCAACTTTAAATAGAGTTCTGTCTAGTGGCCAACAATAGACGCAACAATAGATGTCTTGGTCAAACACGACATTTTATTTTCACCTACATTCCATAACAGATTTAGCTGTATCTGTAAGCCATTTCTCCCAAGATTTTAAAAAGCTCTGAGCTTGCAGGCAACACCTGCCCTTCCCTGTTCAGAGTCTCTGAAGTCTCCTTCAGTTTCAAAACACCACATTAATGCAGAAGTGAAAGGGGACAGAGAAATCCTCAGAAACGCCACACCGGAGATCCCATTTTCCTTGGACATAAAAATGTCATGAAATGGGGAACATGTCGCATCATTCCCACTGTTTGTCACAACCAATTTCTAGTCTTGCAAGAAGAACTGACTTCTGAAAAAATTCTTGCAATTCCAAGGACGTTTTGCTCCCTCCACTCCTACATCCAACGCTTTTAGTAAATTATGCCCTTCTATTTTTATAGGTAAGTACAGCTACAGCAGTGCCAGATGCAGTTCGACCTAGGACTAAATGAGGAAACGCGTTTAAAGCGACTGACTCACGGGGCCGGGATGCATGTGGAAGCCTGGCTAGGAAGCCGCACCTCCGAGCCACAAGCAGCGCTTCCCACTGTCGCAAGCCCACACGCCGCTTGGCCTCACAAAGACGTCACAACTTGCTTGTAAGCAAGAACATAAAATTTCCTCCAAAGCTGTAATTTTATCTAGTCGTCTGCTGACAGGGAGGGTTGTTAATGATGAGGATTCCGCAGGTTGTTCTGTCTGAGGTTGGCAAGGTGATGTTTCCAGAAGAAAGGTCCTGCTTACACCACACTTCCCAAAATGCGTCAACAGCCAATGCAGTACTTAGAAAATATGTGATCACTATGCCATTGGCAAAACTGAAGAAGAGGAGGAGATGCCACCCTGGAGATGTGAGAATCTGAAAACATTTTTTTTTTTTTCCCCCTGCACACCTACTTGCACATCACATACCAAACTGACATATTTTACAAGAAATTTAGATTTTATTTTAAAATACCACAAGCATTGAACTTTCATGGAAAGGACAGAGAGCACTGCTTCTCCAGTCTGCTTCAGGCTACCTGTAGGCTCAAGAACACAGTGCTACAATTACCACAAATCATTTCATACAGGGCTCATCAGTGGACTGTTTTATCAAACACTGGAAAGGACAGAAACTTGCCCTGGGGAAAAATAAATAGAAAATACTGCAGTGGCACTGTTTTCAAGGTACACCTCCCACCTATACTCTGCTAACTGGTATATAATGCTGAGGCCATGGGATAGCATCTTTCTTCCTCTCCTTGAGGGAACGCGCAAGTAACTAATTGCTGCAAGTATAGCGATACCACTCAGTGTCTCCCAAAAGCGTTCATCACCATGGCCCAACTGAAGTAAGCCCTTCAAAATATCTGGAAGTGCTCAAGAGATTCTGAAAAAGCCAAACTCAAGACCGTACAAAGAACATTTACCTGGGGCGTGGAAACTTTTCATGTTTCAACTCCTGATTTTTCATCTTCAAAGGCCTTTGCAAGCATTAATTAATCCCCACAAAGTATCTTTGAAGGAGGCATCGTTAGCATCTTGTTAGGCACAGGGAAACTGAGGCAGCAACTCATTGCCAAAGGCCAATAAGTAAATTTATCAGGGAAGTCTCCAAGTTTTAGCTCTGTACCTCCCCATCTCCTTTCTCCTGTTGGGCCTCTTTTTAAACCCTGATACATAAAAACACCGTAAGGTGAGAACCAAATTCCAGAAAAGCAAACATTTCAAGCCTTCAAATAATAATATAGGCCTTCAAATGATAACATCCTGCTAAGAATAGACAAATCGAGTATAATCATGTTAGTTTCCAACAGCCAACATATCAACATAGAAATTAAAATAAAAGCTCAAGCTACTTTTTGGAAATCCAATCAATAGTTGTAGCATTTAAACACATCTTCCCTGTGACAATCGCAGCATCAGAAGGACAGCAGGTAAAATGAAGTTGTACATCTTCAAAATCTGCACTGACGAGATTTAATTGGAGCATTTCTATTTATACAACTGAGTAGTCACAACATTTCTTTTCTGGAGAGATTGTATGCGAGCCAGGCATTACTTTCTTCAGCTCTTACGATAACAAAAAGTCAATTATTTTCCAGTTAAGTTCCCACTCATTAAAATAAGCCCGTCTCAGTCAGTTCACTTTAATTTGGAAGTAACAAATCCAATGTAAGAACTCAAGAAGCAAGCGTTCCACACCCTTGTGTTCCTTTGACATAGCACCATGCAGCAGGCCTAAAGACAGATAAAGTGACCACCAAGCTTGGACAAGAAAGACAGCCAAGGATGCTTCAACCCCAGGCTTGGAAGTTACAGGTGCAATGGGCCAGAGAAACGAGCGCTTCTGCCAGGTGCTGGGGCAGGATGAGAAACCCCAGGGCCCAGCTATTCAAGGGCTACAGACAATTCTGCAAATGCTGTTCTGCTCTCCGTTATTACTTCCCATGAAGATGACCTTGAGATCCCTTGAACAGAGCAGGCTAATGGTTTGAAATGAGACATGGTGCTATCAGTCCAGCCAACTCGAATTCAGAAGACTGAAGTGCTCCAAGATTGTACAATACTGGGTTACAATCAACATTAAGAGGTATTTGAAGGCCATTCAACACAGTCTGAGAGTTAAAAGCCAGACAGGTAAGTAGAGACTCGAAGTGCACAAGCTGATAGTTCTCACCCTGAAAAATGTCCCTCTAAATTCTTCAGATACAGTCACTGTATTATTCTGAACACTAATAAAAGCAACACACCTCTAAAGAGCGCTCCCAACTAACAAAAATAACTTTCACAAACATTAAGCTGTAAAAAGTGTAATTCTGTTTATTCAGAGGGAAACACAGACTCTGCCAAGATCAGTAAGCAAATGAAAGCAGTCCATCTGAGAAAGAGTTAAGAGCTGCCAGCTCCTTACACAACATTGCTGTCACCCAAAAGGTAAGGTAGCAGTTAAAAAGCAATTTCAGGCCCAGGGTTTTTGTTTTGCTTTGTTTCTTTGTTTTGGTTTTTTTGTTTGGTGGTTGTTTTGATTTTTTTTTTTAAAGGAAGAATCAGCTGCACTGACGTGAAAAATTTCCATAGACACATTCCTATAGAATCAGAATACACATTGTTTATTGTTTATACACTATTGTAGTGTAACTGAAAATACTTAGATCAGTGGCACACAGTTTCCCGGCATAGCTAGTATGAGATATAAGAATAACCTAAACTGTCTACTACACCCAGAGTAAGTCACCGAAATTAGAAATACCAACATTTAAAATGGTGAAAGTAAGGGTGCCTAAGAAATTATCCTTCCCAAAGCTAACAGTGCACTTGGTAACCGAAAGGCCTCCACTTTATACGGAACTTCTTTGTGTGATTAACTCACCTATCGCCTGCCCAAGCCATAGCCAGTTGCCAAGGCTACAAAAGACTGGTGCCACACTTTACAACCCAAGGAGTCAGGGCCAAGTTACTTCCTTCCAGATTTCAGCATCCTCCTTCTGCAGCACCGTCATTAGGAAAGCTGTATGCCGAAGTAAAAACAAGGCTTCCAGACATTTCTGTGCAAACCCATCCCTGTCGTATTCCCACAGTGGCTCCTGGTCACTCCAAGACCAGATTGCTTCCTTCGCTAAGCTGTCCCTTCGGACGCCTGACCCCCTGTCGGAAGGAAGGGAGCTTGCTTTCCACACCTCCCAGTGCCAGGCTCTCCCAGGAGGCCCGGCCGCCCTCTCCCCTCAGCCAGGGACCCGGCGGTGGGTCGGGGAGAGCGGCTGCCGGGGCAGGTAGGCAGGGCCCCCTCCGCTCAGCTCCCCTTCTTGCCAGGCGCTTCTGCTGAGCATGGCAAAGCTGCCCACCGCAGCTGCTTCCCTGCGGATCTCTGCAGCGGTTTTTCCCCCAAAAGCTCCAGGTCCTTGAGCTTAGTGGCTTCACAAGAAATTCAGATTTTAAAATAAAGAAATAAATCTGAAGATAACAGACAAAACACAACTTTCCACAAAAGGCAGGGGGTCCTTTCAGAAGAGAAAGGAAGGAAAAAGCTTCATTTCAAATATCTTTTTTTTTTAAGCACTGAACATCACACGCTAAAAAAAAAAAGCCACCCCCAAACATGAATGAAAAAGTTTCCTCATCTGAAAAAAAAAAAAAAAAAGTTTCACAGACCAGGGGAATTTAAACCAATGTCCTTCTCTTTCAGCACATGGAATTGACAACGATGGCAATACAACACAGGTTATTCTGAAAAGAAGAGCTTCTTCAGATGTCTGGAAATGGAATAAATATAAATCCAGACAAAACCCCAAATCCCACTATTTCAGTGAAACACCGTTATCCATTGTTCCTCATCCCACCCTTTTCTTTGCTCCGCCAGGGAGTAGGTTCAATTTTCTGCAGGCTTTTCAACCTGAACGTGCTTCTCAAGGGGTATAGTGACCATTACCATTATAACCAATTTGAAACAGTGCCTCCTTCTACCAAAGTACCGACACTGAAATAACTACTTTTATGAGATCTTTAATTCTCTACCCATGAAGGCCAGGACTAAAATTTGGCTTCCCCTTCTTGGAAAAATAGCTGTCTTCATAGACTGAAGTTCTACACAGGATAGTATGAGAGGAGGCAGATGAAAAAGTCATCATCTCATCAATAGCTCTTAAAAAATACAGGTATCATTATACACAAGACTCTGCATGTTAAAAGAGCAGAAGTTTATCAGATGATTCACATCCAGTAAGGAGAAAGTTATTTAAGGTAGCCTTAAGGAATGGTTTTGCTTTTGCTTGTCCCAACCATCACCACCCGGTGTTGAAAGCTGTCATAACACACACACATCCACATTCTTCAAATACTTTTTTTTTCTTCTATACATATATATGTCAGAGTCACTGAAATCAAGGAAATGCAGGATTCATCCAGCAGAAGTCAGATGCTCTTACGTGCACCAGAACACAGCTGAAGGCAAACTTTTGCAGGCTGAGATCTGACCAGGGGCCAGGTGAGTGGCCCTTGGAAAGGGGCCATTCCACTCTTCCCCCTGACCCACGCCCCCACTTGCCCTGCAGCAGCACACTTGATGCCAAATCCACAAAGATGGTAGGTGGCCACAGACCATTTTCTAGCCCAGCCAGGCACCCACGCTTCTCTGCATCTTTCCGCCTCTGTTTTTCCGTCTGCGAGCTCAGAATGTGCCTGTAAACAAGGGGGAGGTGTTAAGCTACAATGCTCATGTCTACTACAAACCCACCCATGTAGGTGGCAATGGTGTTCCTGCTGTTGGATGCAACCCTTCTCCCAAGTAATCACAATTCCTAAAGCAAGGAACAAGCAAGCATCCAGAACACCATCCCGTAACCAGGAAATCTTCATCTGTTTGCTATGCGCACACGCAAAAATAAATTCCCTTGTTTCATTTACAACATGTTCATTTAATACTCTTTCATCTCCTGGAAAATCCTCAAAACAAAGCAAGTCACAGTTGACCTCACTGGATACTACCAGAGCTCTGTTTGTGCACTCAAAAACACAATTAAACTAATTCCCAGAGCAGCCAACAGCTGCGGAAGTGACTCAACTTCTCCAGTGTTGTCCTCTGTCGAACTAACGGCAGTGCCGGGCAATGCAAGGAGAGGGACAGTCCAGAGTCGCAAAAAGAAGTATACAAGAGTATCCATCAGAGAAAAACCTAGATGAAAAAAGACAGACATACACATTCAGCCAAGCATGCCCCGCTGACTTGCAGAGACAGGCAGGCAGACAGCAGAGGAACTGGAACACGTCCGTGGTATAAAACCTGCAGCATCCCGAAAGGCTCACTCCGCACGTTTTATGAATGTCACTGCACTGCTGCTGCCAAGTTTCTCCACAGACCTTCTCAAGAGCTTTAAGAACACCAAACATGACTTGAAACAAGTTTCATTCCAATTTGCAAGAAAGAGGCTTTCAACAGACCCAAGTATCTTCACATGTTCTCCTCCAACACCCATTTGAAATACTGTCACGTGAGAGGAATCAAGATTATCTAGAATGTTCCACTGCTCACTCCCAGGCATCCACTGACTATCTTGAGGGAAGCGCTATGCTGTCTTCACTCCCAAAATTTCTTATTACAAACAGAAGTTAGATTTTTAAGAAAGCTAAGGACTGGTCTTGGCTGTTTTGTTGGGTTATTTCAACCAGATCCAGGTTCCTGCGCTATTTTAATATTAACATTTACTGTGTACGTACATACACGCATCATGGAACTGTAGGGTATACTCAAAACCAGATTTATTTCTGCAGATTCTAATATCCTAATATTCATGTACTACTACTTTAAAAGAGCAGGCTACTAGCAGTTTCGCAGAAGGTAAACACAAAGTACTCCTTCCTCTCCAACTGCTTTGTTTTTTCCTATGGACCGCTGAGATGCCGTTCAGTGTCTTTACCATTTCAGTCACTAATTAAGCTCTCTGCAAACTAAATGGCACTATTTTCTCACTAATGTTCCCCTCATTTCTCTGGAAACTCTCATTTCTGTCAATTAGCATTAGCTCACTTAAAAGGGAGGGCACAGCATGCATTCAAACAGAAGTTAGAACTTCACTCAGTTATGCCTCCAAGTTTAGTTTCCACAAAGGTTCAAACCTCAGTTCGCTGCATGAAAGTACCTAATAAATCATTCAGTAGACATAACTACACTTCTTTTGTAAAACCTACCCTCTCACATACATAAAACTTGGCACTAAAAAGCCATTTGAACACTTCTTTCTGCTGTACGTGAGTGGATGGTGCATTTTCCTTTCAAGAAAGAGGACTCAATCAAGCTGTAAATAGTAGACTACTGAAAGAGGCTGAAAGGCTGCTGAAAAGGATGCTGTAGGTACCCCGCAGCAAGGACTGCTGCAGGAGAACGCATGCCACAGAGAACGCAGTTCTGCCCCGTGGCAAGCAAATTCAGAGACGACAAAGTCAAATGCCGGTGACAGAGGATTATGTAACGTTGGCTAACAAAAGTATACCTACGCGCTCCATACTCATCGAAACTGCAGAAAGACTCAACCCTCTGAAGTCTGCAGTCCAAACCACCTCAGGCTGTCTCCCTCTAATTTGTTATACGCATAACGAAGACGAAAACCCAAGAGCAAATGCAGGAAGAAAATGATTTGCATATTTTTGAGAAATTCTTACAAACTGTCACTCAGATATTTCCAAGAAAATGTTATGTTCTAAAGGAAAACAATTACACAGAGGGAAAATGCTTGGTAACACATGCGGGAGTGAGGATGACACAGCACATGTTATGCAGACGCATGGAAACATGCAAAGCAGTATTAGACAACTCAAACATCATACAGAACATAAGGGAACGGAATTTTTTTTTTATTATTATTTTCAAGAGGAAAGCAGTAACTTCCAAGTCCTGGCCTGGCAGTCAAAGTGAATACCAACAAGAGAGGGAAACAAATCAACCACAGAATATGAGCATCCACAGATGATCAGAAATCAAAACTAGAAGTACCATTATGGATGCAACTAAGCAAACTATAAAAGAAATGTAAGGAAACATATAAAGCCACAAGTCTGGGGTATTTCTTTCAGTAACACATCTGATCATGTTTAAAGAAAAGACAGTGGAAACATTAATAAAGATTAATATTAAGATTAATTAATAAACATTACTAAACCATTTAAGTAGGGATGAAGGAGTTGAAGATCTTTCAACAAGTAACTGAAAATATAAAGTGGCCTGGAGAGCTCCAGCTTGCCTGGGACAGCCTTGCACACTGCCAGACCCATAAAGCATCATTCAGGCTGTGGGGCAGGAAGAAAGGGGGGGGGGAAGTGTCAAATAAATAAAGCAAGTGATTAACAGTATTTGCCTACCTATGATTTCTTTACTGCAGCATCTTTTCAACTTGATAAAACAAGGACAAAAGTGTCCCATGCAAAAGGTACACGCTACTTTCCATAGCAAACTGTTGGTCCTGCTACAGAGGTTTCCTTATATTCAGCTAAATTCTCTTTATGTCTTTACATTACTGATGCCTTCTGCATCCTAATAGTCACACCCTTTAAATACATTTAAGAAAGGAGGAAGCAGAGCTTTTCAGAAAGCGATCTACAAGCCGCTGAGGATGATAAATTGCAGCAATAAAAGCTTGGCTCTAGTATCGAATTAGATCCTCTCTTGCACACCAAATATAGTGCTTGGAGAACATGCCTCAGAACATGGATGGTTTCCCAAAATGCTGATCAGTGCTTTTGAAAACCAATGCTTTATGAATGACTAAAGCAATTTTAGTCATACAACCTAAAAAAAAAATCACAGCAGGACATTAAAAAAAAAAAAAAAGCTAACTAAACAGTTTAAGACAGTCTTCAATCCTTTTAAACACAATAAAAAGAACAATCTGTTAATGTGTTTAGGAAAAAGGCAAAGTTAAAAAAGGAGAAGCTTAACTACATTTTAATGAGGGAGGAGTCACTTTAGGACTTTATAGAAGGCTGCCTTTTATTAGAACCCCCATGCAAAACAGGCTGATGATATGAACATGGCAAATGAGAAATACTCAGCAACTTCCCAACCAAAAACCTCAAAGTATGCATGTAGGATTACACTTTCACTTTGTTTAATAAGTAAAACGGGGTCTGAATTCAGGAAATAACAGAACAATAACCATTAGAGGCAAGAAATAACACAGAGAACAACAGGAAGAATAAATGGACAGGAGGTGGTAATGAATAACCTAACAGCTTTCCAAAAATACACTGCATTATCTCATCACCAAGTATTTCTTACACATCCCCCGTATTTAATACAATCTTGTATGTGTTCTATGTAACTATTTTCAGTAAAATTTGCTTATATCTTGCAAAGTATCATATCAGGAAAGTCGACCTGTCTGAAGGATCTGAGGGGGAACAATAGCTCCTACATACACAGGAGAACATTTCTTCTGAAATTATTTAAGCTTGTGCATTCGACAGTTGAGTCCACAGTCAGTTTAACTGTTCTATGGTGAATCTGAAGACACAGATTTTTCCTCTTTTCCACTCACACTGCAGCAAGAAATTTTAAGAAGAGCTGTCAACCATAGAAGTTATTAACAGGACATTAGAAACATCTGATTTTTTGCAAAAGTTGCGCCTCAGCATTAGACAAAACAGTATTTCGTTGCCACAAAGTGTGACAAGTAAAAGACACAGTAATGCCATTTTGATTCCTGGATCTAGAATACTCAGCAAGTCCCTAAAACAATTACTCCATTCAAGCAAAACCAGGACCGTGATACTGAAATTGGTAAAAACAGAACAAAAATATCAGCTAGCAAAAAAAAAAAAAAAAACGGGAGGGGGTATTTTATTAAGGTCAACATAGAAAATCCATCCAATCATTATTTGAAGTTATTTTGTATCAAAAATCAGATGTCTCAGTTTTTAGCAAGAGAGGTTATTTACCACAGCTTACTTAAACTCATTTATTCTCTTTGTCACAAAGAAAGAAATTAGACTTGTGATAAAGACAACAAATCCAGGCATTATGGGTTCTCATCTGCAAGATGTTCTTCTTCACTGAGGAAGGGATTAAGATTTTGTATGTCAGGAGTGCTCATATCTCTAGGACATAAGCAATTATCTCTGGAGGTAAGCTACCAAATTTAAAGATGAAGTGAGCCGACAGACAACCAAAAAAACCCAAGTATGTGGAAAAGAAGCAAATTTCAAATAAAACTCAACTGAAATATGGGTAGGATCACAGGAGGTACGCAAGAATAACAAAAGGAATGGATTCCTGCCAAGGAACAGCTGTGAACTGGAGAAGGAGGAGAGGAGAGGGTGAACAAGATAGAAATGTCTTTAAAAAAAAAAAAAACAAAACACAGAAGGAAAGTTGGGACACGAATCTAAGGTTGCAGTTGGATTTCAAGATGAATGGGGAAAGGCAGAACAAAGGAAGAAAGACCATCTACATTTGCAAGTTATATCAGGGAGACCCCAGTCAATGTTTTGAAGGGCAAGGCCTGAATGGACCAAAAAGCTCCACTTGATCCTTAGCTTTCTCCTGGAGAAAAACACAAAAAATGCAGGAGAAGAGTGAATGAATTGACTTCCAAGTACTGCTTTTAAAAGTTTCAAAACATATTTGCAAGGAAAAAACTACTGTTACTTTCATGAATTCACAGCAGGGGACTGTCTTTTTATTAACACAA